GCTGAGCTGAGAGCCCTGGCCTGAGGGGTTCTGAGTAATCTGGTCTGGGAACTGAGGTCCGTTAGATGACAGGGTACAAGAAGGAGAGAATAAAGTAAGATATCAAGACAAACAAAGAAGGAAGACAAAGGCATTGGCAAGCGAGAGGAGAAACGGGAGAGGGGCTAGCTGGTCTCCAGGACGGCAGTGATGTGCGCTGGGGAAGATCTTATGCGTCAAAGTCCTCGCTTTTCAAAGCCATGCTCCATCAGTAAGGTGACAGATGTGTACGTGAGCAGAAGTCTCAGGACAGAGAGGGGCTGAGCTTTGGCTCCGCAGCCCCCCAGGGAGGTGCTGGGGGCGTAACTGGTCCCACTTGGGCACCCCAGCTCCATGAGCATGAAAGAAGGCAGGTGAGAAAGACAGCAGAGGTGGAAAGCCACAGTGAGGAGGGCAGGGACAGGTAACAGCTGCTAAATGGCTGAGTGGTGGGGCCCACGGGAGAGTCACGCGAGGACTTGCAGCAAGCGATCAACATCTGACCACTTAATTCCACTGGTAGAGGGAGAAATAGCTAATAAAAAGAAAGTTAAATAGGAAGGAAGGATGGTGGGAATGAAGGGAGGCAAGAGGAAGGAATGAATGGGGACATGGAATTTCATGGGCCAAGGGTGGGTGTTTACAGGTGGCTGGCTTCATGACCCACTGGTCCATGGTGGCTGAGCTCCCACGGAAGAAAGAATGCAAGAAAGAAAGTAAAGAATGGAAGTGAAAACAAAAATAGAAAGGGATGTGAAAATGATCAAAAAAGAAGAAAGATAATATATTAACAAATAAATAGGCAATCCAGGTCTCAGAGAGAGCCGCGCTGGGAGTAAGAATGAAAGGGTGCAAGAAAGCAAGCACTCCGGTTAACCCTCATCTGTGCTCTTGGAGGGACGACCGCCCACCCAACCAAGAAACGGTTCAGAGCCTAAATATGTAAGGGGGGAGGGAGGGCCCATTAACTGCAGATTACGATGTATCCAATTAGGTGCACCTGCTGTCTAGAAGTGCAAAAATAAGTATTTAAATAGAAGAAAGACTGAATGGATGCATGAATGCACGAATGAATGAATGAGAGAAAAGATTAGCATTGACCGATGAGGAGGGTGTTACAGAGAGGGTCAGGTCATCTGATCCTGGCCCTGATCTCAAAAAGAATGAAAGACTCTAAGGAAGAAGGAGCGAAAGAGAGATAGAAACAAACAAAAAGACGGGAAAAAATAGAAATTGGGGAAAAAATGTGAATGAGGTGATCAATAAATAGGTCGACCAATTAAGCTTGCAAAAAGGACACATTGATTCGCATCTGTGGCCCTGAAGCTTATGGATTATAATGAAAGAATATACAAGTAGAAAACTGAATGAAAGAATAAACGTCATAGAAATGCAAGCAAAGAGGTTGAAAAAATGGAAAGAATGAGAGAAGGAAAGATATGGAAAGAGAAATTAAAAGGGATATAGGCGAAAGGCATGGCCTGGGTAAGTGTATTTAAATATAATGAATAAATATTATTCAGTATATATAATAAATTGTCAAAGCTGAGGCTCATCAATAAAAAAGCAAATATGTAAAAGAAAGAATAGAGTGACAGGGATGAATAAGAAATGATTTTAATTAATAACTTCTGTACGCAAAGCTCATAAGAAGAGAATGCAAAAAAGAGAAAGCAAGAAAGAAGTATAAAAATGATAACAAGATGGATATATGCAGCAAAAACACTGAATGAATAAATAAATACATAAACATGTAAGAGAAGGCCATGCAAGAACAAAAAAAAAAAGGGGGGGGGAGGCAGCAAGAATTATGACTAATTCCAAATGGGGCTTCCAAGATAGTTAAATAAACCGTAAACCCAATTACCAGCGCGAGGAATTAATGAACAAAAGAGAGCCCCACGTGGACCGCTGCTAAGAAGGCTCTGGGAGCCACAGATTATGGTCAATGCAATTCTGTGCACCTGAGGTCCATAAATAAAAGAATAAATATTGAAATTAAAGAGTGACAGAAAGAATGAATGGATACATGAACGACTGAATTAGAAATGGAAATGACTGGAGTGAGCCAGGACGGGGCTGCCCCTGGGATTTTCAGTCATCTTTCTCTGGGCACCTGAGGTCCATCGCAGTGAAAAAAGACACACACAGAAAGTGACGGATTCAAAGAGATAAGGGCGGGCAAAGTAAAACTACAAGAAGGAGGAAGCAGAAACAGACCGATAGAGAGCCACGCGGGCCGTGGCTGTACCTGTGAGAGGTGGGTCTGTTCGGATTAGTAATGAGGTTGTCATTAACCCTAGAGATTCACAAGGTAATTTCAGGCCCACACTCCTAGAGGAGAGAAAGTGGAGAGAATAAAAAATAAGCTAAAAAGAAAAAAGGAAAGATAATAAACAACCAAAGTGATAAATGGATAGTTAAGAGAGGTTGTCTGAACAGGGGTTCTAATTAGTTCTCAGACATACTCCTTAAATAGATAAATACATTATATCTTTCCAAGATTAAGTGAAAAATAGAGGGACATAGCTGGCACCCAAACAAGGTTTCATCTTCTACCACCGAATGAAATATACGCAATTGAGGTCCATAAATAAAAGAAGAAATACTACAATGTAAAAGGTAACTAAACGCAGAGAAGAGCAACTGCAGCTT